AGTCTGTGTAAATAGTAGCCGGAATTTTTTGTTCTTTTTAAATGCTAACAAATGGTGTAAATATAATTTAATTTTTTTCCTACGGGATTGTAAAAAAAAAAATTAATAATAATTTAATGAAGAAGAAGGAATTTAAAAAAAAGGACAGAAAATATGCAGTCTATGTAAATAGTAGCTGGATTTTTTTTTAAATGCTAACAGGTGTAAATATGGTTTTATTTTTTTCTTCCTAAAGGATTGATTAGCTTACTATGAAAAATTTGAGGCCATTTTTTCCTTATTTCTTTTTCAACGAAATTTGAAAAACAATGAAAAAATCAGGAAAATTCTCATATGACTCTTGGAAATCTAGCTAAAGAAGTGAAAATATTTTCTTTTTTGCTTGAGTTCATTCATAATATCTTGACCGAAGTTCATTGCGTGAAAATGTTTTGCCAAGAAGAAAGTAAGCAAGCAAATAAGCAGAGACCGCTCTGTCGTTCTTGATCGCAATATGAACATGTTGCCGGCAGCATTTTTGCATTTGAAAAATTGTTCTTGCGATACTGAGTAAAATGTATAATTCATCGGCAACATCTGCAAAACTCTTTGTTCGTTACAGAGAGAGTCCGTAATCTGAAGCTATCGAGTTTATTTGGTATCTTAAGAAACATGAACCGTGTGGAATAAAAGTCTTGATATCGGTAATAAATATTTCCCTATGAACAACGTACATACATACATGCCAATTAAAATCCGCGTTTGCTAAATATTATATACTCTAAAGGGTGTATCAAGTAATATGCTAAAAATGCTCTTCACGCGGTCTAACGTGATCAGGAGGGATAGTCATGGAAAATCTAGCTTTCGTTTTTTTACTGAGTTGTTTTTACCAAATAGCAAATAGCAATAGTAACTTTCAGCTAAGTGATTGCCTCCGCAGCTTATTTTTGGGACATGTATGTATGACTCTACAATCGGCCTCTGATATGGTTTTAGCGCGTCTCGGTTACACACTAAAGTTAAAAATGCTATTTCGCGAAAGACATATGAGTTTGAGTTGAGCGAGAAAGCGATCTATGCTGTCTTATGCTGTTCAGTTGGGAAAAAATATATGGTCTAGAGTACCATCACCAGTAAACATGTTCACGAAAAATAAATGAATGACTTGATCAAATTACCTTATGATTGGCTTATGTTGTTCTTAACAAAACTTTTGTTTTATTATTATTAATAAAAATTCTTCCTTTAATAATAGGCCATGTTTTTGAAAAGTCTCCGCTGCTTTGAGCTTCCTTTTGTAGCCTGGTCTTTTCTAATGATTCCAAACATACGATCTAAAGCAAGCAACTCCGGATACTTTTTACACAAAATGTAAACTTGACTTACCTCACAATCGGTAATCAAAACGTGAAAAAGCCACTTTGTAAATATCAAATTATTTAAGAATAAGAAGATTCGACGAATTTGAAGTATATTGGACTGCCATTGTAAAATTATTATTTTTATAAAATGAAAGTTTCGGATAAAAAATCCCATAAATATAAAAAAAAAAATTTTACACTTTAGTTTAAACAGACTCGTATAATGAATTTTATATTCAACATAAACAATGACCTTTTGCTCTATAATTTTTAACAAAAATTTCAAAGTCTATAATCTGCCACCAAAAAAAAAAAAAAATAAAAATAAATAAATAAATAAGAGAAATAAAGCTAAGGTGCATTTTCAATGTGTGGTCAAGAGTACAGAATTCATTAACTTGGTTTTGTTGTTTGTTATTTATCCTCAACATGAAAATGAAAATATTTGTTTAACATTGGAAACTATTTGAAGCAGTCCGGTTATCTATACTATAGCCTTTTTTTATTTTACGACCTCTATTAGGAGATGTGCTAACAACTTCACCTTAGGTGTACCCAAGTAAAATTTATTCATTATAGAGAAAAAAAAATTTATATATATATATATATATATATATATATATATATACAGGAAAGACTTTATATTAGAGAGAAAAAAATTGTCACAAACAGTTTGTTGTTGAATATAAATAAAATCATTTTACGGTTGCGCTTATAGTGGGATATTAAAGTTAAGCCATAGATAAATTTGGTTTTGACTGAGATTTCGAATGTTTTTTCACTTTTGGATAAAATACATGAATATTCATCAATTGAAAATGCATCTTTATGTCCTACGCACCACTTGTGGTATGCGAGTATATTAAGTTTGTCCGGATGTAGGCAACACTCAGAAAGTTTCGAGGTAAACCTACCTTTTATTACACTCAAAATCACTTTCTAAATCGATTTAAGCTTGTCCCTCCGTCGGTCTGCTTTGTTTTCGTTTCATAAAGCTCGCCATTTTTTAAAAAGTTTATGACACTGAGATGTTTTGGCCCGAAGACAAGCACTACTGAAAATAATTCGGATAGCACCGCTTGTTCGAGATAAATCCAGCTAATCAGAATTGATTTATAACCATTTTTTGAATTGATTTAAGCTTGTCTGTCCGTCCGTCTTTTTCCTTTTCTTGTGGTCAATCTACAGGTCACATATACATACTCTAGTCCAAAGACAAGCATAAATAGTTCGGATAGAACCGCTTTTTCGACCTTCCCTTCCCATATAAGGCCGCATTTTGAATAGTCGTCATACCAATAATTGTGGAGTGGTATAAGGCTATTTAATAGGACACGGCGTCTCAAGGCGCCGGTGCGTATTTACCAATTTTGTACTTGTATTGGTCACGAATAGCGCCAAAGAAATATGTATTCTCAATAAAGTGCCCTGTCCTTTCATTCGTTCGCTTGTATATCATCTGTTGCCGAACTGTTCATTATGTTCAAAAAATGGGAGGGTAATTTGACATACAAGGTCTTATGTTAAGTTCACAAATTATATATTCAATTGATGATTATGTGCATGCAAGGGAACGTACAATTATGTGATGGGTCTGTATGGGACGTTTTACAGTTTTTTAATTATTTCAAATCCACGTTAGTAGCGTAGTATGCAAAGAATCTCCACTGTTCGCAATGTTCGTGGTTTCAAGTCTGCTGCTCAAGAGTTTTTTAATAAAGCCTATAAGCCTTTCGAATGTTATGGGCTTAAGTCCGTAGCCTTAGAATTTATTCTCTGAAAAAAATTATTATTAAAATTCTACACTGAACATACCATGGAAACTTTTTGCAGCCATTAAGAGGACTAACTAGCTGTCCACCATATGTATATATACATGTACTGTACATAACGTAGTATTTTTTCCCAGATGACACAATAACGTACGAAACAAACAAAAACACTACAGTGTTCTGCAGTGTACTACGCAGTTCATTATCCTACATCGACCTACAGTTATTCTTATAACGACTTTTTAAAATAACGCGTAATATGGAAAGCGCTCGAAAAATTAGTCCGATTAGAATCGTTTTCAATAGCGTTTGTGCTTGGACCAAAATACGTCACTGTATCAAATTTAAGCGAAATATCTCAAAAATATACGTCTAATAGGTTGACCAGAAGAAAAAAATGGACAAAAACGGACAAATGACCTTAAATCTATTCAACAAATGTTTCTGAATCGATCGGTATTTATTTTTTTGATGAAATACCAGCAAGTAGTCCCTATTTGGGTGTAATAACTTGTTTTTCCTAAATAGTCTTATGTGGGCTGAAACCCAGAAAATTAACTTAGGCAACCTGTCTCAAATTACTCTTATAATTAATTAAAGACATTTTTATAGATATTTCTTTATACTTCAACCGTAATTGACTATGTTATACAATATAGGGTTCAATTAATTATTGATTCGATACCAAAAATTTATTTTTAATTAATAATTAATTTCGATTCAATTAAGTTCTTCTATAAGTAAAGGTACCTTAATTTGCTCCTTTTCAGAATGAAAGGTTCGTAGCATAGTTAATTAAAGACTAGGAGTATTATAGTAAGCTAATAATTAATTGGAATCTAATTGAGTCAATCAACAGGTAGTCAAGTTGTTCTTTCTTCGTAGCATAATTAATTAAAGACTAAGAGTAAGAGTCATAGTAAGATAATAATTAATTTAAATCTGAGTGAATCTAGTCTGTCTCAATCTCAAGTTGTTATTTTTTCGAAGCATATCTAATAAAAGATTCAGAGTGTTGTGGTGTGATAATAATTAATTTAAACCTGAGTCAATCTACAGGTAGTTGAACCTCAGGTTGCTCTTTCTTCAAAGCATATCTAATTAGCGACTAAGAGTATTATAGTAGAACAATAATTAATTCAAATTTAAGTGAGTTAATCGGCAGATAATTGTACCTCAGGTCGCTCTCTTTTGCTAGGATAGTTAAATAAAGACTAAGAGTATTAAAGTGAATTAATAATTAATTTAAATTCAACTCAATCAATCTACAGATAGTTGAACATCAAATTTTTCTTTTTTAAAGTCTAGTTAATTAAACACCAAGAGGATTATTGCAAAGTAATAATTAACCTATGAGTCAATCTGCAGGTAGTTGAAACTCAAGTTGCCTTTTCTTCACAGCATTCCGAATTAAAGACCAAGATATATTATAGTAAGATAATAATTAATTTAAACCTGAGTCAATCTACTGGTAGTTGAAACTCAAGTTGCCCTTTCTTCACCGCATATCTAATTAAAGAGTAAGAGTATTACATGTAGTTAATAATTAACCTAAGTTTAACAGAGTTGATCTATTTATAGCTGAACTGCGATTTGCTCTTTTTTTTTTTAAGTATAGTTAATAAAAAATTTGCCAGAATATATTTTATTAAAGACTAAGAAAATTATTTCAAATAAATAATTAATCTATGTGGATTAATCCGAATGGATCTCGTAGATAGTTGGACTTTAATTGATTCAATTTCAGAATGAAATATTGTTAATTAGACGCTAAATATAAACGCAATTTTTCTTTAATAATTAATTAAATTTTGTGATTTGTAATTAGCTTTATGGGAAATCAAATGATTAATGATCAACTCATCGTATAACAATCGTTATCATTGCGTTTACAGTGCTTACTTTAATGATATATAATTTGTCATTTTCAAGTAGTTATTCTAGACTTCTAAGCGATATTCATCATGTAATGATATTCATGAATTATTGTTTAAAAGAAGGCAAAGCTATACAATTTGTAGATGAATTAATATGAAGCGCTTGCCGGAACACGTGCCACGCTTATGATATTTCTTCCTTTTTTTTTGTTTGTTCAAATTATATAGTTATTGCGTTTTAGCATAATTTTGTGACGAAATGACGACAGAACCTATTGCCAATTATTTTCACACACAGGGATTGTTGTCGATCAAATAAAATATTAAATTTATTTCAACATTTCAACAAAGTACTTGAAAATGGAGAAAAAAAATTTTCCCCTTTTCAGCGATTTATTCTTTTATCTATGTAGGGGCATAAACGCTTTGTGAACTCGCTGGTTCAGATATACTCTTTATACACAGCGAGCGCAATAAAGCAAGCCGTGTCGCAAGACTTTTGAGAAGCTTGTCGGTCCATCTGTCCGTCTTGTTTTGTTGTGTTCATATTGCAATTTTGGCAATGGAATTTTGTTCGCTGACACATTTTGGCTCCGGGATGACTAGCATTTGAAAATGATTCGGAGCGAACGACTTTTTTGACTACGCCCTTTATATCTTCAAAAATCGTTGTATGAATAATTGTGTAATGGGATAGGGTATTTAATAGGAAGTTTGGACCCGCTGTGGGGTTTTTACTTGTTGTCCTTTAGAAAAGCAAATCTCTGCCGCTATAGTATTCCATTTTTTTTGTTGTCTCATCAAGACCGTCGTCGTTTAAACATTATTTTTGAATGAGCTGCAAAATCACTACGCAACACCTTTTCTTAAAACGTGGCATTTATTAAGGAACCGCTTTAAAGATATACCGGTTCACTACACTTCATATGGCGTTCATACTTAAGAAAATAATTCCAAAGTCCAATGTAAACCCAATGTCCGCAAACAATATAAAACAATGCCCGCATAAAATTAAGATATCCTTTAGCACAACTAATGTAGCAATAAAATCATAAAAGAGTCAAATTGTCTCACTCCGGCAATCTAGTGTTAAAGGGATTCATTTTAGTTGCCCTTACGGAGATTTATTTGTTGATTTTCTTACTAAGAACACAAATTATTCCATAATAAATATGCATAACAAAATCTTAACAAATTGCTTTTAATGAAAATCGAATGAAATTGGTAAACGTGATGTTGAAATTTCCTATAACCGCATTTGAATACTGAATTAATGTAATATATGTATACTGTTTGTGTAAAAAGGAATACTTGGCGCTCGCATATATAATTGATGGATGAAAACACATAATCCCTGTAAAACATTTTGAAAAAAAAAAAAAAAAAAAAAAAAATGAAAATAATTTTTTTATTAATCATATAAAAACTAGTGAGAACATTTCAATCGGGCAAGGCCGACCATTAAATATCCTACACCGCATTGTCTAACACAATTCTTATTTTTGTATGAAATTACTATTATGGGTCAATTTTTATCACCACAAACTTCGACTTTTCTGCTCTACAAAGGATCAATTTTCGTGAAAATTCTTATGAAGGATAGGACTCAAAAAATAAGTCGAGATTGTTTTGAGATAATATTTTTTCATGTTCAATTATTTTTATGATATAATTTTCATCATGAAGCCGTGAAAATTGTTTATCATATGGACTTTATTTTTCGTTATATGAGAGGAGGTTCAGAAAACCGTCTTAGTCTAAGCGGTCCATTGTTTTCATACCAATTTAGAATGCCGAAATGCTACTACTTGGCCACTTTCACCGAGATATTTTAAAAATTACAATTTTTCAGTTATGTGGGGAACGGCCGGAAATGTGGGCCGATCTAAACCAATTTAAATAGCATTGGTCCTTAGGTCAAAACACGTCACTATACCAAAATTTTTGCCAAGAAATTTTAAAAATTGCAATTTTTTAGTTATACGGGCTACGGTCGAAAAAGTGGACCTGTCCAAACTATTTTCCATAACGTTCGCTCCCACGTCACTATACCAAATTTCGCCAAAATATCTCAGAAATTGCGACATGTAGCTTGAAAGCAAATTACATGGACAGACCCCAGACGGACAGACAGGCTTAGATCAATTCAGGTTACGATTCTGAATCGATCGATATAATAAAAATTGGGTTCATCTTAAGCCTTTCTGAAAGTTATATACGTCCGCACTAACTTAATATAATACAAGTGGTGTAGGGTATAATAAATAAAAATAATTGTTTTATTAATCATATAAAAATAATTATAGACAACAAAATTTTGTAGCGACCATTGTGCGAATTTTAGCTACGCACTACTTTAAATCAATTAATTTATTATAAATAATGTCGATCGTTTCTACTCAAACTTTTCAAATGATCTTAGAAAATATTCGTATGTGGTATTGGATGAATATTGCTTTTAAGCTATGAGTTAAAGCTTTGGGATGTTGTGGCCATGTTTCAAGAGTAAATAATTTACATTCGTAAATCGTTATTTCAAACTAATCGAGCAATATCTGCTAGGAAATGCTAGTTATAATCGACGGGTGAATTACGCCCACATATATCAAATTAATTTAAAGATTGATTGTGACTTTCCAATAACAAAGAACAGAGGGAAAGAGAGATAGGTCCAAATCGCTTTAGATTCTTATGCAATTTCCCATATGTACTTTGACTGCTGCGAATGCATCTCGCCGCAGAGATTTCTCCTAAGGGAAGTCATCTACTTGCTCTACTTAGGAAACGTCCCCTATTCGTGAAACGCGGTGACCTTTATAGGTGGAGATAGGATAGCGGCCGCAGTTTATGCAGGTCTACGAAAGGTCCCCGATGTTATTGAGGACTCCAGAGTCGTGGGAGCGTTAGTTGAATGATTGGCATTGCTGGAGCGATACTTCTTCGTAAACATTACAAATCTATGTAGAAGAAATTACAAAGCAACCGAGAATGGGTGGGCTAACCGAATGCAAGAGTGGCTAAATGCTGCTTAATATCGAACGTACCTAAGAATTATCGTCTCCACTATGTGGATCACGAGAGTCGGGATATCTACTAATTGTATTCCAAGCATAAAAGATTAGCTGCCAAGCGTACGGAATGTTGGCATGGGAACGACGGAGACAAAGACCTGCTAATTACGGTTTAGCTCTAAGAATTATAATCTGAACTCTGGGCTTCACGAACATCCGGATATCTAGTCATTGTGATCCAGGCACAAAGATTACAAAGCGTACGGAATGTGGGCGTGAACGCGACAGAGAATTGACAGCCGTGATGGCTGCCGTTATCACATAGTAAGATAGGGATTTCGCTTTTTTTAAAGGGAGAGAGTCCATCTTTGATATAGTCACTTGAAATGGAGAAAGCAAGTTATCGCTTGCAAATAAAGCTCAATGAATCGAAAGGTTTCGTCCAATAAAGCCATAGCGGTAGGTGTAGACGTAAAGATCGAAAAGTATCTGTTTATAAACGTAGAGATAAATCTAGTATACTCTTATTTGCCTATAGAGGATGTAAAATTACAAAGGCATTGTCACATAGATATAAACAAATTTGTACATAAAAATTCAATTGTGAATTGAAAATACACCTTAATGGGCGTAACAAATATCGCATTTAATTATTATTAACCCTAAGTTAATGCATTCAATGAGTTGCTCTGTTGATGTTAATGATTGCATTTTTATCGTTTTCTGTTACAGCAAAATAAAAAAATAACAACAAAAAACATGAAATTCTTTATACTCACAATAATAATTGTTGGCGTAGTATTCGCTGGATACGTTGATCTCATTCATGCAGCTACTCTACGTAAGTTCGTCAACACAAAAAGCAAATAACATTTTCAAGCACTTTTTTATTCACTTACTTAGCCGATTACGTTATTCCTTGTAAACGGAACGATCCAAATATAGAGAAGTGTATAGTTAATGCTGTTAATCATATAAAACCACATCTAAAGAATGGCATTAAGGACTTGAACGTCCCAGCAATGGAACCTTTATCATTAGGCACTTTAAATATTTTGGAAAGCGGCAGTTCGGGTATCAATGTCAAGGCGATAGATCTTAATATTTATGGTGCATCAAATTTCGAAATTCGAAAGTTTAAGTATGTTATAGAAATCTTAAGACCAAGACTAGTAAATGACTTTTGCGCTTTATTCATTTTCCTTTCTCTTTATTTTCTTCCATCGTAGAATAAGCGATGATGGTCTACGATATGATTTCGAATTGAATTTACCTCATTTGGAAGGCGAAGGTCATTATGATATAAGCGGAAAAATTTTAACACTACCCATTAAAGGAAGGGGTCCCTTTACGGGGAATTTTGGTGAGTTTTCTTTCTACTTTTTTTTTTTTTTTGCTATTCTATGGGGTAAGTTGTTTTATTGGTATAAGCACTTCGAATTTTAATGCTAAGGAGAGACTTTCATTGTTAATGTAAAATACAAGTAAAAATGGTATAGTGGGTCACGGCCCTCCATTAAACATCCTGCGCCATCCTACAGTTATTCATATGACGGTTTTTCAAAATAAACCATTATGTGGGGAGCGGTCGAAAGCATGGACCAATCCGAACTATTTTCGATAGCGTTTGTCCTTGGGCCCAAAAGTATCTGTGTATAAAAAATATAATCAAAATATTTCAACAATTTGCGAGCTGGACAAAATACATGGACAAACAGGCTGAGGGATGGAGTGACCATAATTTTTCGAATCGATCGGTGCAATAAAGCGTTGGTCTACTTTACGCCCTACTGGATGTTACATTCGCCTGCTCAATTTTTCTTTGGCAATATCTTCTTTCCAACCCTCATTGGAAAACGTAATACCCCCGCATAAGGTTTGGGCAATTTTTGACTGGCTGCTTCTACAAACTTATCGATACCTTTTATGGCACGGCCATATGATACAAGTAACTTGAGTTCGATCTGCTTCGCAGGTAAAGTCCTCTAAAGTCACTTTCGATTTACGAGCAAAGCTGCATTCAAATAAAAGCAATTCTTTTGATAATTCCTTCCCACCTTTTTTCCTCGTTTTTCAATATGATCAAACATTCAGGAGATGGTATCTCTTGCACCTATAATTTGGTGACGGACAGAAAGAGAGATAAAGGAACAGAGAGTGGCCGTAGACTTGTGGGTGCGTATCCTATCAGTAAGCCTTTACCGATAAAGCTCTTACTAGCTAACTGTGATCGCAGCAAAGCCTACCGCACCGGGATTTGAATAAGCGATCGCTGACTGGATAGCCGCGATTGCTAACTACTCGACTAATCATATTTTGGTTTGCAAGCGAAAATATCCAAAAATTTTTGAGAGTCAGATCAATACTAAAATCAGCTTGAATCAACCCTGAATGAGTGCTTTAATGTGTAGAGCTTCTTAAAGCTAGAAAGAATGAAGAGCCAGAGTAAAGGATTGATTTTGCAAGATTAGTAAATTTTGAGTCTTCATGAACTAAGATCATCCTGCAGGATAGACATACTCTCACTTCAAACGCCTTTTCCGTACCATTCAAAGGCAAAAACTTTTGAAACACACGGAAAGAAGCTTCATGGGTTCTACAAACAATAAACCCTATTCATCAGCATTCAATTCTAAATCGATTTGAGCCGCGTTTCAAGTTTGTCTGTCCCTGGTAAACATTCGCGAAAACTATTTCGATCGATATCAAGTACGGCTAAAGCTTTTGAAAAACTTGCGATGACATGCACGAAATAGGTCGAACCACACACCTACAATACAACCTAAACTGAGTACAACACAGTTCTCCAAAGCGACGAATTTGGACTTTTTGCTGACTACTCGTAAACTGTAGCAGATATAACGAAAGAAAATGCTAATGAATTCTGTGGGTGGTCCTGCTGTACTTTCACAAATATGGAGAAAACTGGCCATGTTTAAACAGAGAAAAAAAGTTCAATTTTTTTTTTTATACCCTATGTCAGTTGTGTTACAAGGGATGTGCGGATGTTAGCAACATCCCCGAAGACTTGAAGTACACTGACCTTTTATTCAGTTAGCGACACGATTTAAGATTGTCTGACCATCTGTCCTTTCATTGGAAGTCTCGCCACGTATATTTGTGTTCAAGCTACAAGTTGTAATTTTGACACAAAGAAGAACGCTGTTGAAAAAGGTGCGGAACGGACCACGTTTTCAATCACTTCTTCTATAAAACCTTATTTTGAAAAATACGTGTATGAATAATTGTGTGATGATGTAGGATATTTTACAGTGGGCCCAGGTCCACTAAAGCATTTTTACTTGTTTTTTTTTTTTTTTTTTTAAGATAAAAGATCCGACTACATTTTCTTACTATCTTCAAATTACTCTCTCTCATTATGCGAATTGTATGCTAGAGGATGGGCCAATTAAGCCAAATTATTCTACTATTTTCATCTTCTAGTAATAATTGTATTTATTGCCCTTTTTTCAGATAATTTCTACGCTTTTGTTAAGCTGATAGTTGAGAAGACAGTTATCGATGGTGAAGAGTATTTACGAGTAAAAGATCTTCAGGTTAAGGTACGAACTGGTAAAGGCAATATAAATCTCCAAAATCTGTTTAATGGCGATAAAACCTTGGGCGATGTAGTCAACGATACAATTAATCAGAATTTCGAGCTATTCACGAATGAGTTAATTGGCCCGATTGAACGCGCTTTAGATAAAAAATTCCTTGCAATCGCTCGTAAAATTATGGAGAATTTTACTTATAACGAACTGTTTCCAACTAATTAATGCGATAACTTATTCATCTGAAAATTTTGAATAACTACTATTTAATTTTATAATATATATACAAATAGAATACTAAAAAAAATGTGATAGCTTTATTAAAAGAAAATTAATGATTAATAAATTTTATAGTATTATAATAAAAGAAAAACATATGTAATCATTTTGAATACGATTGATGGATCGTATCCTACGTTGCGAAATATATGCTTAGGATAATATTTTTATACGATTTGGCAGCACTTAGGTATGCACATATCTAGGGGGGACATTTCCTGAGTGATTTGTCAAAAAAATTTAGATACACTGCCCACTTGCGGAACAACCTACCAACGTTCAAGATATTCTCTTCTTTTTCAACCTTTACTTACCTAGATTCCCGGTTAAATGAAAAGAAGAGAAAATATTAATCGCACTGCTCGGCTTTAGTTTTTTCCCGTCTTCTTTTAGCTGTAATCCTTTCTGACGACTATATCGCATTTCCCCAGGTGGGTGATCAGATATAGTAAAAAAACAAGTAAAAGCACTATGTTGGGCTATGGCCAACTCTACCTGGAGTTATTCATTTAACTACTTATCAAAGTAGCACTTTAATGGGGCCAAAAAAGTGTTTCCCCCCGAACCGTTTTCGAAGGCGTTGGTTTTTGGGCCAAAACATGACGACATTTTTGGTCATTAAATATTTCAAAAATTGCAAACAGGTGTACAAACAAGCATCAGCACAATAAAAAGTGGGTCTGTGTCAAATTTTCTTGCATGTTGCCCATATCCGCACAAACTTACGTAAGTTATGCAGGGTATAAATTGCACGATTAAGAGTAAATATAAAAAAAAAAAAAACTAGACTCTCTTGTCATATGAAGACTTAGCATTTTGATAACCTTTAGGTGCACTGAAATATAAAAAATGCTATCAAATTTTAAAAATTAACCCTTTCATCATGTTAAGGTCTACGGTTCAACAAATTACAGAATTTCGAAAATTAGATTGTTTTGTCTTGTGGAAGCTTATTTTTTGTGGCAGTAAAAAAAAAAGGCCCAGTAATTTCATTGTTTACCGTGGTACTGTACGAACTTAGGCCAAGCTGTACAGCTTTCGGACTCTTTTTTGCTGCACACGGCTGGAGTCACTCTTGTCTTTGGACGTTTCACACGGCCCGCAAGGCCATTCATTACGCTATCCCCTCACGAGGAAATAGTGCTTCCAAATATGGCATCACACAGCGCATCCCCAACTGTGCTTCAGCCCTCTTACACTCCGTTGACCATCAGAATCAGAGTTAGTTTGATGACCTCCATTGCAGGCCTGCCAAATGGGAGAAAGAGGAGCACTATTCCGATATATCCCCTTAGCCTTCCAAGAAAAAACCCTTCGCCAGGTTATAGATAGTAAACCTTAAACGCTTCTTTGCCGTTGACTGTGAAGCTCTCTAAAGTGAGAACCATGAAAGCAAAAGTCAAGGCTTATAGGGAATACCAAAAAAAGCTCAGGGTTTCGGTGCATCTATGATTCTCCGAAGGGTCGAAAAGAAATTATCCCAAATCGATTGGTATAGCGAAAGGTGGGTGTACACCAAGTCCTTCTGAGCATTGTATACATTCGCACAAATTTAATATGTCCTTGTATCATAACTTGTGTAAGGTATAAAAAGATTAAGAAAATGACCAAAAAGATAAAATTTCGTTCTCTATAACATTGACTGGGCTTGGCTGATTACTTCCATTTTTGTATAGTAAACATGGAAGTGTTTATTGTGCATCTATTGCAGTTTATAAGTGCCGATCAAAAATCCAGAAAGAAGATTTTATCTTACAGTGTAGGCATGCATATCCGTCGAACGATTTAGCACACTTTCAACACCAGCCTGAATGCATGAAACTCAAATATCGTTGCCTAATTTGTACGCGATACCTTCATTTTGGCGGCTAGGAGATTGTTTATGAAAGACTTTACAGTTCTGCATAAACTTTAATTCAACTGATGGCTCGTAAAGGTATTATTAAATGTATTATTACGGTTATGGTTTTGCATAGCTCCTCAATGCATCTCTATCCCAAATTTTGAATCGGTTGGGTCCTTCCTGTGCATTTGTTTCTGACAGTGAGTCCGTGAGGCTCATCGTGGTAAGATTCGTTAGAAAAAATAAGTTCACGATAATATTTTTTTAGTATTAATCATTATTTTAAAGCAAACTAAAAAAAAATGTTTTGCAACTGCGATCTCGGGCAATGAAAATATTTAAATTCAATTTTGAAATAAAAGGTCGCCATGGTCCACCTAGAATTGAATTAAATATAAAGAAGTTTACAAAAATCAAAAATTATTATTTATAATAAATATGTAGTCGACTTTCAGGATGATAATTATCTTCTTAATACATATTATAATGAATAAACGTATCGAAAATCGTTTCGCTACTATGAAAGGGTGGTCTTTTTTTTTATTGGAAAATCTAAAAAATATCGTGTATGTAAGGGGTCAAGATTCTTGCATTCATTTTTGATTCATTCAGGTTCACACTAGTCAACTAAGTAGTTAGCCAAGTTTATTAAGCTACTTGAAAAAGAACTGTTAGCATATTGCGAATCATAGACGAGTTCTTAGACATTAACCGAATCAGCAACGATCCCAAAGAGGATAAGATAATGACAATTCTAAAAAGAGGAGATCTAACCGAACTCAAAAACTGGAGGGATATAATGCTCCTTAGAATGGTGGGGAAAATAGTAACGAACATAATAAACAAACGATCATCAGACGCATTATTCCATGACATGAGCAACAAACAAGCCAGCTTCCGTCCCAACAAATCCGTCAAATGGCGATCGCCGCTGTAAATAATCAACAACGACTTTAAGAAGACGTTCGACATCCTCCACTATTCCGAAAGCTCGAACACATATCGCTGCGGAGGCATACGAGAGAGAGAGACTTACATCCCTTTCCAAGACCTTATATGGCAATTTTGAGTATCGCGTCCTACGCGAACATGTGTATAAATCCCAAAATAGATGCCGATCAGAGCTGTCCACTTATCCCCTCTACTATTCATCATGGTCATCGACAATATTATGACAAAAACCACATTAATGCCTAAGGGCATTTCCTGGCGCTTAAATGGCCGCCTCGAAGACTTACTCTACACCTGTCTCATAAATTTGATAATACGCAATAGAAACTGAAAGACGTAGCAACTGAAGCAGCAATTTGTGATTTCAAGATAAACATACCAAGAAAAGTAAGTCCATGAGAGTCAACGCAACAAATACAATGCAGTAAGGACAGCTTGAAGACGTCCAATCATTCTCCTATTTGGATAGCAAAATAACAGCCACCGTGAGCTGGAAAGAGGATGTCGTGAAGCGTGTAAGCAAGGCCAAAGAAGCCTATAGCCAACAAAATTCCACCATATCTCCAAATGCATCAAAATTAATGTCTTCAACAGCTGCGTGAAATCTTTCTCGCTGCACCAATTTCATTGTAATAGGAGCTGTCTGTATGTCTTTAAGGTCTGTTCAACCATCGAGATACGAACTTGATTATATTTAGTACCGCTTAGGGAGGACCGCTGGTTTTAGAGACATTCGTACGTGCTATTGATGATATAGCTAGTTCTGGAGATATGTGGGTGTGACAAATTTTTGTCCAACGGACAATCCACATCCGATTATACCTAAAAGAAATGCACGTACTTTACCCTTATATGAATAGACGAACGGACGAAACCTACTTATCGAACGGGCAGATCATAAGCCCTAAGCCATTATATACCCTACTCTATCTTTGGTCTCCTCCGGCCCATGATTCGCAATGCGAGAGCCTCTACAGGAATTTATATAGCATAGTACTTAACAATAGGACGCTGTTCCACATGGTAATGCCACGAAAGGGATGATAGAACACAATCGACGATAATATAACCCCTTTTTACATCGTAAGTAGCACAAGCTAATTATATGACTGTACCGCAAAATTAATTCATTATCCATGTACAACTACCTTATAAATAAACAAACATATACGAATGAGCTCTGCAATGCGTATTCCTGGAGACGAAGAATTTAAGTACATTCCATGCCTCCTGTGATGGGAGTAGAAAAAAAAAGAAATTCCTTTCCAATTTTTTTTTTTCTTTTTTTTTTTTTTGTTATTTAATAACAATGAATTAAGCGTTGCATACTTGTTACAGACAATACCCAAGCTTTTATTTATTAATCGATATTAAATGTTTATAAGAATAGCTCAACAGACAGAGTAGAGCTCGTCGTTTCATGATTAATAAAAAGAATAAAAACCAACAGCATTTTATTAACAAGAAAAGAATTTGCAAGAAATTAAACAGTTTTAACAATTTTCTTTTTTAATATCTACATACAGTTTTTAATGCACATTATATTAAGAGAGTTTTCGTGTTTGAGTAAAAATAAATTAATTTACATATAAAAGAAGAATAGAGAAAATCAACTTATAAAATAAATACTAAAAAAATATTTATGCAACTTTTTTTTTTTTTTTGAAATTGCTTAGTTGTAAACAAATTAAACAAATGTTTACTAGATGTATAAAAATAAATAAGTAAATTAAAAAAAGAAACTAGTAAAAAAATTACGTTCGGTCGTGACCGAATCTTTTATACCCATCACCGTTATCCTAAAAAAAGGGACTAAAAAAAATGAGAAGAATTATTTTTCATATTCTCTTACAGCGAAGGAGAGCGGTTGATTTTTTATGTTTAGGTCATTCCCAAATTCTTTCTCCCGAAGTCCTAGTCAAAATGTTCATTTTTGCGAACAAGGGATTGTCTATCACAGATACTACACGCTTTTGTAGACGGACAGATATACAAACGTACAGACGGACATACTTAGGTATACTCCGAACTTGAAACTGGCCTAGAATCTATATTCCCGCACATTTGTACAGGCACTACAAATACTACCTTGCCTATATAATATAGCTTGGATATGTTCGTACGATATGTACGTTCAGATTTTGTAGATTTATCTGCTATCGTTTATCATTACTGAGTAAAACAACAATTTTCTGTTTTCTTTTGCATAATAGAGGTGTCATTGTCGGCGTGTCTTTCGAGCGATTTGGCACATCTTCAATACCAACCTACAAGACTCTTTAATATTTCTGCCGAATTTCAAGTCGATAGATTCATTGTTCGGACCAGGATAATGGCATAAAGGCGATCAGACGTACAATCGGACAGGCAGACGGACGGACATGCTTAACTCGGTTCAGAATTTTACGTTATATATATATATATATATAACCTCCTCCCTGTACCCCTCATTTTTTGGCGATGGATATAAAAATTAGAAAATGTTTTAATTCGACTAATGTGTGTGTAGAGAGAATGAATTGTTAATAAATTTAAAGAGAGCAAACTTATCTACAAAGGTCATTATACTGAAGAGGAGTCTTTTCTGTTATATCATTTATCTCTATAAAACTTTATGGAAACTATAAATTAAATTGCATGTTGTATATATGTATATCACGTTAGAAGCACTTTATAAAAGCACCAAATACAAATTGAAAAATTTTCAACAAAAAAGCACTTGATTAAAAACGAATAATTATCAGTAATAAAAAAAAAAAAAAGAAAAACAAAACATGTTCTATAAAACTATAGAGTTGAGTGTATGAGAGCAAATATTACGGATTATGAGGTGTTCGGTTGTTACAATCTCAATAATGATAGAGGCGTGAAGGTAGGAAGGTATGTTTGTAATAACCTTAACAAAAAAAAAAAAAAAAAAAAAAAAAAAAAATAAAAATGTGCTCTTTTTTTTTGGTTTTTTTTTTTTTTTTTTTAAATTTTTGAATCAAAATTTTTAATCCAACGCTATACCCTGAATCCAAGCACTTAAATCACTACCGTCCGACTCTAAGATAATCTCATTAGGTTCCTCTTTGCCTAAGAGACTTTGGGCAGCCGTACGACCACTTAAATAGGCACCGTGCACAGTTGAATAGAAATTGGAGTGCGTATGCTCACCAGCAAATACTACAGCGGGCTATAAAAAAATATATAAAACATAATTTTATTTTCTGTCTGTCTGTCTGTCTGTTTAAATTTTACAAGTTACAAACCTTTAAAGCCTGAGAACTAGCGTAAAGAGGTTGTGCCAAATTTTCTATATCTTCTTGTAAAGCACCTACCGGTATTGAGGTATACGAGCCTTTGGTAAACATTTGCGATTTCCAACTAGTGCTGCATGTTTAGAAAAATTTATCTTCTATTTTTCAACTTAATCATGTGTTTTATTAATTATTCCCTTACTTACCAAACACATTTTTTTGGTTTCGGTACGCAAGGATCTTGTAAAAAAATTCTTAAAATTTCTGTACACTTGTCGGCGACAACTTCGTCGTCTAAGGTTTCCATATACTCGGCTTCGCGTCCCGATATCCAACCCAATAGTAAAGTATCCGTTACTTTGGCAAACGAATAGATTTTCTTAAACCAATTTTTACTTAAATAATCATTTGAGGAGTCAAGTTCCGCATTAGAAGAGGCATTAAGATCATATTTGTCATCGTCCCAAAGCAGCATAACTTCGGAAATATCCGCATTCAAAAAGGGCCGATCATATTCCAAATAAATTTTATCTACAGTTCCAAACATTAAATGCTCTATGGCCTCTTGCTTGTAATGCGGCAGTTCAGGATCAAATAAAGTTTTATGATTTTGCTTTAGGACACCCAATGGTACGGTACATATCACATGTTCCGCTTTAAAGATACTGCCATCTTCACAAGTTACTTGTATTGGATAATCGTCATTGCAATCCGATTCAGCCGAACCACCACGTGAAGGACTATTATTAACTGTCGTCGATGTTATTGAACCGGCAATTGGAAATTCCGTAACTGTTTTCTCGGAATCATCGGAATCTTGTTCGCATTCGGAACCCTCGTCTACTGTATCCAAACCGGTTAAAGTCTTTTTCCGTTTCCAATGGATTTTTTTAACCGGGCACTTGGTTATAATCGATTGTTTGCATATTTCAGCGGTTAATGGTCGCAGTATCGAACTGTAACCAGCTGGTAAAACAATATTACCACCTTGTAGTTCCGTATAACTACCTGTTGATAATGAATTCATGTAAATCATTTGATAACTTTTTTCTTTCCATAAAATAAATCATTGACACGCATTTACCTAATTCCAAAAGATCTATTTCATTCATATCGTGACAGCCTGTTATACAAGTTTCACGTTTCAGTAAACAATTAAAAATCAATTGTTTCAAATGTTTCTCTTTAGGATCGTCCAGTGTATTTAAATAGATTTGAATTTCATAATTAATATGCTCGCCGACACTATTAATATCAGGTGGAGGACTGTACTGACATAAAAAATACTCATCGCAGCGGCGTAAAAAGCATACGTATGCCTCATAAATTTCTTGCAATATACTGAAAGGAACTTGTAAACCATCTTCAGTGGTAGCGATGATTTTATGCGGTTTAGGTATATTAACCACACTGACTAGACCGTGTTGAACGGCTATTTCAAAAATCGGATTACCCAAAACACCGTGTATCCAATTGGCACCGAGTTCAACCTGCAATCATTCAGAAAATGCAAAAACACTTTTAACATAAGTTTAACTAAAACTATAGAAATATGAATATCTTTGATATCAACACGATCATGTATTATATTTTGTTTTCGAAAAATTATTAGTGCTTACATGTTTTCAGGTGAATGTAATCTTAACGAGGTTCCCCTACTTCGCAAGAGATATTATTATAGAAGCAGCAATTGCTTCACCAAATTAGAAACTCTTGCGTCTATGCATTTTCTCGTAATGAAAGTTTGATAAATGTTGATCATGAGTAATGTGATGGCATATAAACAATGTATTTTAGGAAATTGGGAAAGTCTTTGGGATTTTTAGTTTTGGTTTAAATACATTTTGAAGATGAAAACAAAAATCTCACCTTTCCCACAACAAAACAGCAACAAGAAAGTGGGAGAGTGGGAGAAAAATGAAATGCAAAATGTTTTTCGGAAATGCTCGTCTTTAAAATACTATGCAGATCGGTCAAACACGACTCGTATTATTATCTTAAATGACTCCGATCGCTAAAGCGGTCGAATATAACCGCAAATCGTCCGCCTGACTAGCCGCAATTACGAAGTCAGCTTTCGCGGATCCAAGCCTTTTTTTACTCTTAACTATAGTCAGCGCTTGGTCAGTAAAGGCCCAATCAATAGTTATTGACTGGGCATAAACCCAGTAGACAGCCACGATCTTTTTATTTTTTCTCTCTTCTTTCTGGCAGTTATCGTGTTATCGGAATAGAAGGCAGCCAACGTTGATGAAGCAACTGTTTCGATGCATATTTGAAAGCTTCACATGATGGAATCTATCATCATCATGATTGGATTACCAATAACTTTTATGGATTTTCTATCGTAATATTAGGTAAAACTAGTAAATACTCTACGATAGGACATGGTCCACCATTATGTACACAGCACCTACCCTACAGTTATTTATACAACGACTTTTCAAAGAAGGGCATAATATCGGAGGTGGTCGAAGAAGTGGTCCAATCCGAAACATTCCCAATTGCGTTAGTTCGTTGGCCAAAAGGATCAGTGTACCGAATTTCCTCAAACTATCTTAAAAACTGCCGGATGTAGGGCAAATAATATAAAAAACAAGACGGGCAGACGGACGGACAAACCTAGATTGACTCAGGAAATGATTCTAGGCGTGATTCTGAATCGATCGATATGTCAAGTGTTGCATACATCCGAACAAATTTAATATATCCTTATATCATATGTGGTCAAAGTGATGAACGACGAGAAGCCTCCTCGGGTAAAATAGCAAACTTTATTATTTAGATGGGTAGAATCAATTTATCGATTGATTCAACAATCCAACGTCCATGTCGAAGGGAGCAGTCACCACACGCAATAAGCGCATATATATTCCTTCAAGCCAGCAAATGTTATTGCGCTGCGATTGTCATGATGATGAAGATTGTAATGAACACTTTGCTCCCTTCGAGTTATCCAAAACAATTTGCAGTTTGGCTACTATGAAAGATCATAGTTTATATAGAAGTGCCAGCGTTGTGGATCATTGTTTGTTAAATATCTTAACTTCAAGACAGTGATTTATGAATAGACGCAATAAATGCTTCGGACTCTTAAATAACTAACTTTATAGTTCACTATTTAAGTTTGCGTAGAAAACCTGGAAGACTAGACTAGACCTTGACACATTTTCATACATATGTATATTTATGTTTCCATCAAACTTGATTTGATTATAATAAGTTAATGAATACGATTTTAATGACGGTACCGAAATTAGTTATAAACATAACTGCAATTTATAATAAATTAATAAACAATCGTTGTTTATATGGCGTTCATATATAGTAAATGCATCGAGCAAAAAATAAATACATAAACAAACAAATCAACCCACATTTTTGCGAACGTACACATGCACAAATGAATAATGCAAAATAACAAGTAAGAAAATTATATTCGGTCTTGACCGAATCCGCTACACCCATCACCATTATCCTAGAACAGACAAAAAAGTAAAAGAATTAAATTTTTATGCTCGGTAGTATGAAGTGGGCGCGGTTGATTTTTTATATTTTCAGAATAAAAGTGGAAGTTTATGTGTAGTTTATCAAGTTTAGTCGCACAGGCATGTGGCCCTTGTAGACATATCGTTTGAAAAGCTTAAGTCATTTTCAAAATCTTTCAGAAATTTGTAACCAATACCTTCATTGCTGCAAACAAGAAAATGTCTACCACGGATATTACACAGTGGGACAGAAGGACAGACGGACAGCGTTACGTGCATTTCGAATTTAAAATTGACCAAGAATTTATATACTTTATGGGATTGTTGAAGATTTTACCTGGGCGTTAGGAAGGTATTGGAAAAAAATGAAGTTATGGGACCTTATAGCACTGGGTAGGCGTGGCCCATTTTTTTGTACAGGGATTACATCACCGCACTTACGCCAGCGGGTTGTAGATTGATTTGTTGTAGTTTATGAGTAATGAGCACAAAACCAAATTTTTATTCCTTTTGAAAAACAGAGATGTCACTGTTGGCATGTCATTCGACTGAATTGGCCCATTTTCATTGCCAAACTCCTTGCTTCCAATTTTTCCGCCAAATTTGAACGCGATAACCTCATTTTTGCGGCCAGAACAAATGACATTACACAGACGGACGGACAGACATGCTTAAATCAATTCAAAATATGACACTGATCTAGAAAGCTTCCTGAACCTTCCTTCGGAACTTTACAAATGTTTTGACAAACTAAATATACCCCTCATCCTCCGGGAATGGATATAAAAATGATATTTGAAGAAGACGACTTAAGACGCGTCTGGAATACACATTACCACGTACATCCTTGTGATTTTTCATTTTGACTGGGGACCAGAAGGTTAATTGGTATATTCATGATCATTGCGAATACCCGCATTGACGTAGACATGCCCCTTAACCTACTTTGGTGTAGCAGCCAAATACCAAGCCTCTCTTTGAATCTAGCTTTGTACAAATGGTTTAAAACTATTTTATGATCGATCTTTAACTCTTGGTCGATGCTCCGAGTGGCTAACATGCCGGCCAACTTCGATCATTTCTGTGATTTTATCGACGTTATTGAGGAGGGGATTATCTGTGCGAGATACATCTTTAACATCAAGAATACCTGAACGAAGTCGACAAAACCACAATATATCGATCATTACAAAGAAATAATGGATTTCTTTTTCCCTAACCTGGTATGAATAACTATATTAAAGGAAGTTCTGATATATTATTAGACCAAATTGTGTAGCGATCCTTTTAAGCGATCTTTCAAGCTGAATTATACGGATTGGTTTCTCTTTATTATTGAGCATCTTGACGTTTCAGGGTATATACATATTTTGTCGTTCAATCTTTTGTTGTATCTATCGATACAGAAAACAATTCAGAAAGCAACTCCGATTCGATTCAAACATGTCTGTCCGTATGTCCGCCTTTTTTTCTTGTGTTCAATCTGGCAACTTTTGAGATGTTTCGATGAATTTGGTATACGGACATATTTTAGCCCATGAACGAAAGTTATTGAAAATGATATGGATCGGAACCTACTTGACCATTTTCCATGTAATAACTCATTTTGAAAAGTCATTATTTAAATAAATGTAATTTGATGTGATATATTTTAGGGCGGGCCATGCCCCACTACATTGTTTTTACTTGTTGCTTATCCCCCTTTTCCGTTCATAAATTTAAAAACTAATGAAAACGATCGAGCCATTAGTAAAAATCCCTACATATATTTTCTCATGGAAAGTGCAGTCAAGCTGAACACAGAAAGAAAGTGATTATCCAGGTCGATATTGCTAAGACATATCGTGTATGCACTAGTTGTAAATATTGGAAAATTCGACCTAAGCAAGGTGTGAATAACTTCTTTACTGTCAATTTGTATCAAAATCTACAAAGTAAACTACACAACATGTACGATACACACCATATAACACATAATCAATATACATCGAGCGAGTAAATTTGGTTTGGTTTGGACATACCATAAGGAGTACGAAGACCTATTATTCAAAGCGGGTACTACTTCTTTGAAAATGATTTTATTTGGCTAAATAAAATTCTAGGTTTATGAATCAAAGTTATACGATCCCCATTATCTACTATATAAATGCTCTTCAATGGGGATCAAAGTAAGCGCACCTACTTTTTGTAATAGAGATAAGCAGTATGCACATATATGTTAAAATGTAAATATAAAGTCTTACAACCAAAATAACTGAAGCGAATCAGCAAAAGTTGTCACTCACATACTCGCTTAACTGGCTTCGTCAAGGTTCAGTGGTTGGGGGCGTTTAATAAACTCGCTGCAGCGAACTAATTATGCTTACACATGCTATTAAAGCACAAGTAATTTCTTTTATATTTAAAGAAAACTCTACATCCGTTGGTATACTGTATACTTAAATACTACAATCGGCATCGATAAGTAGGAAAGTTATATACGCCTAGGAATGGAGCAACATGTCGCATGACTACTGAAAACATATTGGTGATGAATTTGAATGAGAAAAATATATTTAATAAAAAAAATTGATGTTCGAATTGATCACCTTAAGCGGAAGTATCCTAAAAAAGAGGTTTTTTATACCCAACGCTGAAGGACATTTTGTCAAAATGTTTGCAATGCCCTGAAAGAAACTTCAACATCAGGTTCTGAATCGATTTAAGTATGTCCGTCTGTCCGTCTGAAAAATATCTGTTCTTCTGGCTGCAAAAATTAAACTATCGACTTCAAGTTTAGCAGCAACATTGGAAGTTCTTGCACGCAGGCTGTTATCGAATTTGATCGAAGGACACGCCCACAGTACCACGTAAATTAAGAACATTTCAGTTTTTCAAATAGAAAAAGATGTGGTTTTTTCCTCACTACTCTGGCACCTGTAAAAATATGGGGAAATTGATCACGCCTACGCAATATTATATATAGTATATCGTAATATAAATTTTTTACCTTTGTAAGGCGCAGAAGCAGAAGCCTCATAAAATCCGATAAAATAAAGAAATTCTTGACCAATTTCAAATTCCGAATGCGCCTAAGCATGTCTGCCCATCTGTCCAAAATTGTAGTATCCAATAGAAAAAGATTATGAAAATTTATTTTTTTCCCTTGGAGAAACTTCTGTTGTTCCTACCAAGTTGATAACTTCGTTTTTGCGACCAGAAGACAACCACGTAGAGATTACACAGACGGACAGATATGGTTTACTTGCTTTATACTTTCACGCTGATCACCTGATCAATGCTGCTCCTTCATATTCCATTTATTTGATTTAAGTGATTATAGCTTATCACTTAGCTGATGATATAAGTTGACGCTGCAATTGTGTTGCATGATTTGTGCACGTCTTAACAATTACATCGATTCTTTATTCCCTTTTCCGGCACTTGTTAGCAAATTGTTTGAATGTATTTACAAATGGTTATTTGCGTTTTTATATATATGTAGTACAAACAATTGTTTGAATATATTTACATGCAGTTGTGTGATGATCTGCTTTGTATATTTATTGGCTATTAAATGTTTTGTTAACAACAGTTTGGACATTAAACTAAAGCTTCATGCAAAACTGGAGCGTGAAAGTAAAATTTAAGTACGTATGTAATACATACACTTACGGAATAACAATAAAATACATTTTGCAAAGTTTTGTGTAATTGAACACTTGCAACGAAATATATTTTTTGTTATTTTGAAAATTGTTGTTAAGTTTTGCATATTTCAAGGTGATTTGTAGTTTCCTTGAAAGAGTTTAGAAGAATATAAATGCGCGTATGAAGATATCATAAACTTAATTGGTTTAACTGATGGCCTCAACCTTTACGCGCAAGCAAAAGGGAATTGAAAAAAAAACGGGGAAGGAGTTCGAATCGAATCTTTTAATACCCATCGCAACGTTGTGGACTGTACTTCATTACGGGACTAAAGCCGGTATATTGATTCTACATCGTATCGATCATGCGATATATACTAGAAATTAGAAAAAGATGATCGGCCACTTTATCCTTCTGTTGATAGCCGCAGTGCCGAAAGGTTATAAGTTGTGAAATCTGATCCGTGCATATTAACTAACGTGACGAGCCATTCTGGAATAATTATCTCTTATATATGCATACGTACGTACATATATATATTTTTATATAAATGGGTAGATATAAATACATGGTCTAATTTTTTACATATATGCCTGTATATATATTAAATACATACACATGCATCCATTTATATAGAAATATATATACGTACTCATGTATGCATATGTATAAATATATTTAATCCAATAGACATATATCCAATAATTATTGACTTATATATATATATATATATTTATATATATAGGTGTGTGTTTTGACTTCCTGAATAATTCAAAGATCTACATTTACAAGGTCCAGCTTGTTTATATCAAGTTTTTTCAGCATTATTGGAGGAAATCTTGATGAGATTTAACATATTTTCCAATTTCAAACAAAGATTTCATCAAGAAGAAAATTAAGATCCAGTACGAAAGCTGTAACCTAAACGTTCTCAAGGCAAAGGGAAAAATTATCATTTAGCTAAGAAATTCTTCGAATCGATTTAGCTCTCCTTTGAAAGAGCTATGCCGGTTAATTCCTTCAGACAAGGTTTTAGAACCGCAAAAGGCATTCGGAGGCAGATAGGAACAAATCTATTGCATTATTGGCTTTAAACTTTATGTCTAGATTTCGATGTATATTTTAAAAAACCATCATCAATAGATAGAAAAATTCAAATGTAAACAAAAGAAATACTAATAATAAATGGAAGTCTATCCTTGTTAATCCAAAAAAAGAAAAAAGAGCACTTTTGCTGAATCAACTAAAGAATAATAGAATCTTTAATGGTTCATATTAAATGAAGCAAAGCAGATTAAAAAACAAATCAAATAAAAAAATTTTTAAAGAATATCAAGCAAAAAAAAAGGGGGAAAGCGTTAACATTGTTATAAATGGGAAAGAAAATTATTAAATGTGCCAATCTAAGCAGGAAATAAACTCTTGCAGGCATGAGCAAATTTTATTTGCAAAAAAAAATAAGCCCTAAATTTTAAAAATAACTTTCGATATTTTTCGCAAAAGCAAAAAAGAACGATAAGGAATCAAAAAAAAAAAAACAACATTATTCATCCTATAGGAAATTTTTGTTTTTTCAACTTACATAACTGAGTTGTGCGTCGCTTATACCATATGCAAAAAGAAAAAAGTTTGGATGGAGAACTTACTTTATGTTTAGCCATCGGTATGGACACAATACGACCACCGATACGACCACGAGCCTCTAAAATACAGAAGTTATTACAGCCATTTTGCAATAAATGATTAGCAGCCGATAGTCCCGCGACACCAGCTCCAATAATTAAAACCTTAAAATTTGTAGGCTGGAGAGCTGTAGCACCTACTTCACTGCTGTTGGCATGCTCGTCCGTTGGTGACGGGGCAGGTGTACGCGGTGTTTTATCGTCCATAACAAGCCAGCGTTAGATGAATATCCACAATAATAAATAATTATTATAGTTTTTCAGTATTTTCAGTGCATTTATTTGCTTCCTTAAATATATTATCTGTTTCTGAAAAAAAAAGAATTCACAAACACACACTTTGTTTTCTTCTATATGGAAATTTCTCTATTTGTTCACCAAAATGATTGGAATCTCATGCATGCGCTGTGGTGGTATATAGTGAAACTCTCACTTTTTCTTCACTTCTCTTCTTTTCATTGTACTTTGTTTTTATTTATTGAAATTTTACGGATATTAATTGCCTCACGTAATAATACGCTAGCTTATGATTTATCAACACATTTCTAAACAATAAAATAACACCGGCTAAAATCGCTCACACTTAACACACTTAACGTTAATGTTTCTTTCCTAATACTAATAAGAAAATTGCACAGCTTTGTGAAGAAATTTTCTAATAAGTTTATGAGAAATATATCTCTTCATTCATTAATTACGAAATGACGGTCATTAAATCTAGAGAAAGCTAAACAAAACTAAAAAGAATGAAGAAAAACATCTGTACATCTTTCCTAAGATTTATTTACAATGTTACCAGCATTGAGATTCGCAATAATACTCTTATTGAATATGTACATGTGGCAGCGTTATACTCTTGCGGCTGTTTTTTGCAAAACGAATTGATATTTTTTTGTTTTTCCGTGTTAAGCAAAATAATTTGTTTATTAACACATTTAGAGGTGAGACTAATTTTCTTAACACGGTTTTTATTCAAGCAAAATGGCTGTTCGTCTAACGCAGAGAGTATTAAAAACTCAAACTCCCTTCTTAAGTCGGGTAGGTAAAAAAAGCAGATAAATAAATTGAATGATTAATTAAACTAAATCAAAAATTACATAATTTTATTCAAAGAGATAAAAATTAATATCTTTAAATTGTTATCATATCAAAAAATTAAAGGGTTATCCCATGTTGGTAACCAAGGAGAAGACAGAAGATGTAGCTCATACCAAAACAGCTTTACAGAAGAAATTAACGGTAGGTTGTATTGTATAGAGTTTATTATTCCATGCAAAGAACGATTATTTCTCCGTCCTCTTTTGTTTTTTTTTTTACAGAGAACCGATATCCCTTCAGCTCAATACGGTGGACGTCATGCAGTTACCATGCTGCCAGGTGGAGGTATTGGCCCTGAACTAATGACCTATGTTCGAGATATATTCGCTTTTTGTGGGGCGCCAATTGACTTTGAAGTCGTAGAAATTAATCCCTCTACAGAGGGCAATGAGGATTTGGAGTATGCTATAACTTCGATTAAACGTAATGGTGTAGCTCTTAAGGGCAATATTGAGACAAAATCTCAAAGTTTAAGCGAAGTGTCGCGTAATGTGGCAATCCGTAATGAATTGGATTTATTTGTAAATGTAGTACATTGCAAATCGTTTCCGGGTATCCCAGCACGGCATAAAGATGTTGATATAGTTCTTATACGTCAGAATACCGATGGTGAATATGCTATGTTGGAACACGAATCGGTGAAAGGTGTAGTGGAAAGCATGAAAGTAGTGTCTTTGGAGAATGCTGAACGTGTGGCGCGTTTCGCATTCGAATATGCTCGTCAAAATGGACGTAAAAAAGTTACCACCATTCACAAGGCCAACATTATGAAATTATCGGATGGCTTGTTTTTGGAAGTTGCGAAAAAAGTGCATAAAGACTATCCAGAATTAGAACACAACAATATGATCATTGATAACACTTGCATGCAATTGGTATCTAATCCGCATCAGGTAACGTAAAACAAATTTATAAAAGATTGTTCTGCTCTTTGTGACAGAAATATGGCTCTGCATAAGCAAGAATAACTTTGACAAGTGCGGAAGATAGTAAGGAGTTACATCCATGTTCTACGTTCCATCCGTCCATCCGTACTTTCGTAAACATAACAGTTGACGTATAAATTCTTAGCTGTAGGCACATATAGTATGTATACACATACACATATATATATATATATAAATTGCGCAGAAATAATTTGAAAGTTGAGGGCAAGCTGTTTCCGTTTGGGCAAGTGACACGTATCCGCCTATGCGATAATTGTAGGATAAATGTATATCAAAATTTTTAATATATAAAAAAGTAATTATTCCCTAAGAAATTTATTCATAGACAACTGTTTTTAATTGAGTTCCGCCTTATCATTAATGTATTATACCCACCCACCGAAGGTTGTGAATTATAATCACCTTGTTTTTTTTTATCATGTATGTAATATCCAAAAGGAGGCTTCATAGACTCTATAAAGTGTAAATATTCTTGATCAGCGTGAAATTCTGAGTTGATTTACCCATGTTTGTCCACCTGTGTGGTGTTTGTTTTTGCCACTCTCCTGATCGCCAGAAAGAAAATGTCGACTTCAAACTTGGTAAAAACATTGGAAGCTCTTGCACGCAGGTTGGTACTGAAAATGGGCCAAATCGATCAGTGCTAACAGTGGACCAGAAACTGAAAGCAACTCCGTTTTTCGTAGCAAAATTTTACGGGTTCGCTCGTCACTCGGAAATTATAAAAGTTAGAAAATTGAAGATTTCCACATTTATTTTATGAAACACTCTACTCCTCCTACTCTTAGACAGCGCGATTATTTTTTCCTTAGTAGTACTGGCGATAAGGGGGGGGGGGGGGGGCAAATAGAAGAACATGAAGAATAGATTGCGAAAAGCATAGTGGTGGGTATGCGGTATTCGGCCTTTCTCGAACATAACTTTCTTGGTTGTTTATTATCTGCCATTATCAAAGTTCCCAAGAGAAAATAGAACACTGGATATAGTTCTCATAAACTGAGCTTATGCGAGGTGCATCGAGCGAATATGGTTAAAATTGAATACTAAACCTGCATTTGTCGTGCGAATGAATAAAGCCCTCTGACTTGTTCTAATTATAAATGTAATTATTATTATTTTTTAGTTTGATGTCATGAACATGCCAAACTTGTATGGTACCATTGTTTCAAATGTTATTTGTGGCTTAATTGGCGGCGCTGGTTTACTTTCGGGCCGTAATTATGGCGATCATGTACGTATATACATTCAATAGCATTTTAAATATTTTTAATTTTTTTGTTTGTTGCTAGTATGCGATCTTTGAGCCAGGCACGCGTAATACAGGCACAGCCATTGCTGGTAAGAATATTGCCAATCCAGTTGCGATGATTATGGCAAGCGTTGATATGCTTAATCATACTGGGCATAAGGAACATGCTCGTATTATCAAAGATGCTACGTATGAGACTGTGGTTACCAAAGGTGTGCGCACGCCAGGTATATATAAAATAATTGTTGTTACTGAGAGCAAAAAACTTATGATTTTCTTTTACATAGATTTGGGCGGCACAAACTCCAGTACCGATGTTGTTAAATCGGTTTTAGATATTTTGTCTACACGTCGGGTCCATTGGTAAATTTTACGTTTCTAGAAGCTAAATGTTAAATGTTTTCTATATTTTTGTTTTATTTTATATTATAACTATTTAACTGATTATTCTTGTATTCTTGTAGTGTCTAAAATTGTTAACTGGTCCCTAGTGTTCTTTTTTTTTTTTTTGTTTTCTTCTAAAGTATTTTCCTGTTTCCTTTTTGCTTAGAAACAAATTTCTATATCCACTTGCTTTAAATATTTTTGTTTATAACTTATACAAAATGCTTTTTCATTTTTATTTTGCATTTTCATATATTGTTTGCGTCTTATATACACGTATAATCTCGCTTATTGAATTAATCTTCAAATAACTATATATGCCTTATCGTAACGCCTGAAACCTATAAAGTATGTAATTAGCTTAGACTACGTCTAGTAACGATCTTGCTTATATTAAATTTTAAATTCTTTTAACAAGTTTTATATTAATTATTAGTTGAATATCTGGTACAGATTTAAAATGAAAGTACTTTGGTTATTGTAAGCGTTTTTGTTGATAATTGAAACCATACGCACAACAAGATATGTTACAAGATGCATTACGTGGATAGTCCGCGACTAATCATTAATTCATTCAAATTGTTGTCTAAATTTTTTTTTTTTATGTGATTTTTTGTGTTTGGCTCCAGTATCGTTGAAAAGTGCTGAATAATATGACATAAGTAAATTCGTGCAGAAGCTGGAATATTGCTGAGTGCTCCAAAGAGAAAAACTTTTTGCCCCTCAAGCAGGTGCAGAATTTTCTTCAGCTTTACGCCCTAGAAAAATTTGGAATCAAGTTGACTGCTGACCTAACGCCTAGCAAATAAATTAGGATAAATAAGGATAACGACCTACAGCTTAGTAAAACAAGAACATTATAGTCAGGCAACGTAGACCATTAAATATCCTACACCACACTGTTTAACACAATTCTGTCGACTTTTCTGCTTTCTGCCTTTTTGTCGCATGAATTCCAGTTCTCTTTATATGACAAAGGGTTCAGAAAATTTCCCCATCCGGCTCAAAGTTTTCATACCGGAATGCCGAAATGCTGCTACTTAGCTACTTTTGCAGAGAAATTTTGAAAATTGCAATTTTTTTCCACATAAAGTCTTTTCAAAACAGGGCGTTACATAGAGAGTGGTTGAAAAAGTGGATCGATCCGAACCTTTTGTTGTTGTAGCATTCATTCTTGTGTCAAAACTGGTCACTGTACCAGTCATCAATTTCATCAAATTATCTTAAAAATTACGACCTGTCGCTTCAACACAATTTTACATAGACAGACGAACAGGCTTAGATCAATGCGGATTATGATTCTGAATAGATCGGTATAATAATAGGTGGGTTTATATTAAGTCCTTCTGCGTTTTCAACACTACGCACTAACTTAATATGTGCTGTACCACAAATGGTGTAGGGTAGAAGTATTAATTCGCACCAGGCAAAATTCCCTAAATAATAAATGTTATCCGCCCACAATCAGCAAAAAACTGCCATCTTACCTAATTAAAGAACATTGATATGAAGACACTTATTAAGACGGACTGAGTTTGAGGGCAAGATATGCTCATTACATGCGAATTATCAATGCGAGATATTTATCTGGTTCTTCGTACAAATTTACAAGAGAAGAACTAATTAAATCAACAAACATAAAAGTGACTTGCAATATACAACAGATTGTTCACATATTTACGAAAATGAATTAAAACTTCATCCAAACCAAGCTTACAATAATCGAAAAATTGTTAATAACCATAACCCGTAGTATAAATTGATAGAAAACTTGATAGAATTACAGCCTTGCGATATTTTAGTGTAAAAATTATCCTGATCGTGCAACCAACATGCTTCCTCTATAACACACTTCTAAAATTTTTTATATTCATAAAAAATATGTATATGCGTATTTGATCAGATTGAGACACTGAGTTGACTTAAGCATAACCATTTAATCTTTAGCGCACTCACCCACTTTACTGATGAAACATGTGCAATATTGGTACTTTTTTCCATATAAAAAAAAGTAAAAATGCTGTAGGCGGACATGATCTTCCCTTAAATAGCCTACACCGCTTCACTTGATACAATTATTCATGTGACGGCTTTTCATAATAACGTTTTAGATGGGTAGTGTTCGAATCTGAACCATTTTCATTGGCGGTCGTATTTGGACCAAAACACGTCAGTATACATCATCAAGAAATTTTAAAAATAGCGGCCTGCCGTTGAAATGCAAAAAAATAAGAAAGACAGACGAACAGACAAACTTACATTGATTCAGAAAGTGACTGAATCCTGGATTCCGTGTGTCACATACATTAGCACAAATTCAATTTACTCGTAAAACAAGAAAGACAGACAGACAACATGTGTATAGCCTGTCTTAAAACTATCTGCGTGCTTCACATATCCGCACAAACTTATTATAAATTTAAAACAAGACGGACGCGCAACACCGGTATAATAGACGGTGAGCTTATCTCAAGTTCTTATGGGTGTTGCACACATCCGCACAAACTTAACATACGCTCAGTACAAGACTAACAAATGGACGAAGAACATCGGGATAATAAAATGTGGGCCTACCTCAAGTCCAAGCACAAACTGAAGATACGCCTAAAACAAGACGGATAGATGGACGGACAACATCGTTATATTAAAATGTGAGTCTATCTGAAGTTCCTCCGGTTATTGCTTGCATATGAGCAAGTGTCACAAGGATCTAACAACTTCTGTGTACTTACTAACAACTCTTCCTATAGCTAATTTTGATGTCTCGGTGAAACCTATCTATTTGGTACAGATTGAGTTGACGGATATCGAATGCGAATAAAGTAAATTAATAAAAAAAAAATTTTGTATATTAACCTATAGAATTCTATCTTCACCTGTATTGTTTTAAAAAGTATGTTAGTGCAATTTTGATTTTATATAGCTACTTCTCCTCTTTGTATTTTTAAAGTGTATAGTGTTTTGTGTGTAGTGCTTTAAGATAGTTTTCCAAAATTTTTAAAAACATACATCATTTAATCAATTAATTATTGGAAAATTTTGTTTTCTCTCTTCCCTGGCATTTTCTTGATTCTTTTTTTCCCCTCACCCCAACGACAACAAATACACAAAATTCTTCCCCCCCCCCAATCCCCAAAACATTCTGGATACAGGCCCCATGGAAACTTTTTTAGCCAATTTTAACAAATATAATAAGCGAATGAATGCAAAACACTATTTTATTACTCTCTATTAATCGAATCCAAATAAGATTCTAAGCGGATCGGTCAAGTCTTTTAAAGTGTAATTTCTTATAAATTTTTGTGGAAAAAAAAAAAACAATAAATAATCAATACCAGAACTAATAATCTATAACAATCAAAATCCTCTTATTAATATATGTAATAATGTGTGTCAAGTCACTTTAAAAAACTGTTTTATAAATTCATATTTGTCTAAAATAATAATAATAAAAAAGAAACTAAAATTGGAAAATGTTTTTTTGTCTAAACTTACTAAATAATAATGCTGTCTTTATAACTCATGCAAAAAAAAAAAGGTAAATTAAAAGAAAAAAAACCCAAAAAGTTCTCCCTTAAAGCAATCCTTTAAAATATCCAAATATTTTATCTTTGCAGATAATGCATCCTCTCAAGTGCTACGTCCTCTCGGAAGATATCATTAGGCTTGTGATTAAAATTGCAGAAAAAAACTATTTTTTCTTTTTTTTTTTTTTGCATATGAAATGCTTACCCAACTTTGCATTTATCTATAGGAACCGAGATGTAAAAAAGAATTGTATTTAAATTCTGCAAATAAAAAGAATAAATTATTAAAACTTCTTTTCTTTCTTTTATTATTTATTTTATAACTTTTCCAAGCAAGGAAAACATCCTCGCTTTCAACATTTTTCTTAGTATAAACGAAACATACGAAAACTGTTGTTGTTTGTTGTTGTTTTTATTTTTATTTCAAATTTTTCAAATAAAAAAAATTTTTTTACACTTTAGAAACGTAGTTTTTGGAAAAACCACTTGTTTTTGCCTTCTTTATATGACGTCTCAAATTTGACACGTGTTTGAAAACGATGCGTTTTCCTTTTAACTGGATCTTTTAGATCCTTGGCCGATAATTTATCAAATGTAATTTCGCTGGCGGTATATCGTGTGGGCATCAGATGATTGTAATTTAGAAGCTTTAAAAATGGCTTTATTTTCGATTTTTTCTTCAATTTAGTTTTACCCATTTGTTTAGTAACTTTACGTGGATATCTATCAATGCCGGCTACTAACGCGTGACCAAATGGTTTCTCGCCTGTACCATCATCAACAGTCTTGACAATAATCGCTTTACGGCCAGCGTAACGTCCACTTAGGACAATTACAATTTTATTTGGTTTCATAATTTTCCTCATCTTGATGACTGCATCATTTCAACAATGAGTTTCAAATACACACAATAGTACACATATATAGCGTAATTTATTTATTCCAGAAATTGTTGCACATCCAGCCATGAAACAAAACAAATGTAAACAATAAATCAATTTCCATATTCTCTCTTTTTCCTTCTTTAAAAAAGGCGTCAATCAAAAAAATCAAGCGAAATTTCGCACTTTAGGAAAATGTTAACGTATTTTTTACAGCTGTTTTTCTATCTTTCTTTTATCTTTTTTGCTTTATTAGGAGAATAGAATTTCCTCTCGCTGTGAGGTTTTTTTTCCTTTGACTTATATAATTTTGTACACTTTTTTCGGTAATAATCATTCACACGCACAACTTAATAAATCATTTGATGTATAATTAATACATTTCTTTACTTAATTTGCGGAATTTCACTTGATTTTTTCGATTAAATTTAGAAAATTGTTTTAAAGCACTTACAGGCTTATACGGCTGACCGGATATAGAGAAAGGAAAAAAGGTTGACATTTCGCACATTGTTTTGACATTTTCATTTATATCATATACAATGTTGCCAACAGTTTATGCGAATCTATTTACAGTGATATGAAATTCGGGCAATTCATGAAACTTTGTATGCAAAGAAACTTTGAAAGGGTGAAAACATTGATATTGAAGACAAAAACACATAAGCATATTTAAACATTGCAGATATGAAAAATTGTCCAATTTTTTATTAAGCGTTGACGGGATTAATAGGTTGTATGGTTCTTTACATAACTAAGTGAATGAGGTAGGAACTGTAGAATTGAAAGTTTTATCTTAAATTTGGTATCAACAAAGTGTGGGAACAAAAAGAAAAATTGCGGCCCTACTACATACAAGTGCAAGGTAATAAAGAAATATAAAGAAAAAAATATATATTGAAATTAATCTCTTACCTTACGAAGGATCAGATAAAGGACTTAGTGTTACACTAGGCCTTTTTTGTAGAACGTAGTGAATGGCTGCCGACACGTTGAAAGTTCCAAAAGAGGAATATTAATTTTTTTATATGTATAAGGTATTATTTCAGATCTTTTCTGGATTATCCAACTTTTCCGATTATAAGACGGACTGGACGATAAGACGCACTTCAAATTTATAAAAATATATTTTAATATCGCTTTTAGATCAAAATTTTTATTATTGTTAACATAACTGGTACGAGCAATATTCAGTTGATATTCACATTGGCTCCTATCTCTCGTCTCATTAATGTCACCGTTTAAATCGCTTTCATCTGACCTATTGTTGTCACTCTTTTCAAAAATGGCGTCATTTTCAGTACCACCTACAGTATTACTTATTCTGCATTTTTTGTATGACGTTATAATCGTCTCATCATCAGCTGGATCTTCCATTTAGAAATTAATTTGTGTTCTTTGCATTAACTTAACGAATTTTCTAAATTTCTATAATTCCTTTTTATTTATTTAAACCTTATATCTGCACTATTATACTGTATCCCTTAGCGACAACAACCTCTGTTCTTTTTCATCGGTGCATTCCGACTATAACATTTTCAATTTTTCTTACAGTTTCAAATTTTCTTCTTGCTACTTTTCATACATTGTTTAACTAGCTTTTTTTTTATTTTCTTGTTTTTCCTTCTCAAATCATATTTCGGTCTCATTAAATTCAGATCAATTTTTTCAAATGTGCACCTTAAATGATAAGGTAAGATAAGCGGACGCGTCGTTTTGGTTACGATTTGAAATGCTTGATGTGTTTCTTGTAGCCTTAAGCTATTTCATTATATAATCCAAAGCTGACAGCTCGGCTACAAATTATATAGCTTTTATCGTTTCTTTTTAACTTCATTTGCTATTTCTTCTTTTTATAGTTAACTCACCTTACGACAATAAATTAAAAATCATGCAATGACACTTTGACGGGGCAACTCTAGTCAGTTCTAGTGTGTAATCGTTACAAAATTCATAAAATAACAAATGAAAGCATTTTTCACTTATCTTTATTGATGGATCGATGACCCTCCTCCTCCTTAGATAGACCCTCCTTTTTTTAAATCGATCGATTCAGAATCCTAATCTGAATTGATCTAAGTTTGTTTGTCTGTCTGTTCGTCAGATGTCTGTCCATGTAAAATTATGTTCAAACTACAGGTCGCAATTTTTAAGATATTTTAATGAAATGTAGAATAACTGGCGTATTTTAGCCCAAGGGCGAAAGTTGTTGAAAATGGTTCAGATCGGACCACTTTTCCGGTCACCTCGCACATAACACCTCATTTTGAAAAGTCATTTTATCAGTAACTGTATGAAGCGAAGTGGTATAGGATATTTAGTGATGGATTCTGATCCACTATAATGTTTTAATTGATTTCTTACTAAACTTCGATATACAAAAAGGTAGACACATTAAATCAATTTTTCGGCCGATTTTTCTCCTTTCAGAATAAAAGTGAAAGCTTATATTGTGTTCCGGTTGTAAATTCGGAGTAATGAGCAAAAACCATGAAAAACAAAGTTGTGCTCATTTTTTGTCGTATAGGCTTGTAGGCGTATCTTTTGAAAGGTTTAGGTTACTTTCGCAAATTTTTAGCCGATATCTTCATTTTCGCTAACAGTAGAATGTTTGCCAAAGATATTGCACAGTAGGGCAGACGAACAAATGAACACGCAAGAATCTTTATGGGGTTTCTGTTCCTGCGTGTTATATAGGTATTAAAAAAAATTTGATGTTGATACGCTCTAATAGAACACATGAGTAAAGAGCGAAAAATAAATTTTTTATTTCCTTTTAAAAACAAAGGTTTACATTTTCCTGTAGGCGCGTGCTGCAATTGATTTCACTGCGTGCAAGAAATTTCATCTAGTTTCATTTTTGTGGCCAGGAGAAGGTTTACAACAGACCTTACAACGACGCATAGACGGACGGACAGGCATGGCTGAATCGATTCAGAATTTGATGATGATCAAGAATAAATATACTTTGTGAGGTCTCTGAAATTCCCTTCTGGGCGTTGCAAACGTTTCGAAAAGAAAGATACACCTCCCGGTGATGGGCATAACAATTTGTATATTCCGTAAGCGATCTTAGAATACCTGCACAAAATGAAAAAAAATGGGCTCCACCCATCTGATAGTTTAGAATATCGAAATGTCATTTTTTGGACTTTTTTTTTTAAAGAAAAAGGTGCTGGATATAAAAAATTGTTGTACTAGGTATATTAAATTAATGCGGACGTGTGCCACATCCAGAAGGACTTGAGATAAACCCATCTTTTATTTGTCTGTCCATCAGTCCATCCGTCCGTCTATTATCTATCCACGTAATCTTGTGTTGCGTTTTTCGTGATATTTTGATGGAATTTGGTATATATCGACTTTTTTTGCATCAAGAACGTATGCCAATGAAAATGGTTTGGATCGGATCACTTTTTCGATCATAGTGTAATTGTCAGAGTTTCACGACAAAAATACTAATAATTGTTTATCGGCATTTTCAATTGAAGGTAAGTATTAAGGGAAGTGATGTAGAGATGCCGTACAGGGGCGACCATGCATATATATATAGCATTCTTATTAGCTAACTGAGGCTTTATTCTTCAAATACTCTTAAATGAAAAAAACTTCTCCTAAGTCCGCCTCCCTCCTCTTCTGTATCTTTCTCATTCTAATCTTCACCTACATCCTCTTATACACTTTTAGAACCTCTGACATATCTTTTTATGTTTTGACAAAATGACTATACTCACATTCTTGGTGGATGGTGGATGTAAAAAAAAAAAAAAGTTGGCGTATGGACGCAGGCAGTCTGGTAACCCAAATAGCGTATATTTAATTGAAACACATGCATATTGAAGTTAATTTTTACCCAACGATCGTATCATTCTTTTTTAATGGAATTTTTACAAATTTATTACACAATTAAAAATAAAAAACAGATGAGAAAAACGGCTTCTGCAGCCGCTAGTATAACTCTCTCTCTCAGGTATCGCGGTATGAATATATTTGAAAGTAATAATATTTCGTTAAAAAAAGAGGATAATAAAGTGAATGAACAAAAAAAAAAAAAGAAAAAATAAACAGAATAGAGAAGAAAAAACTATTGTAAGCTTGAAGTAAGTGGTTTGCGTGTTATTTTAATACGCTACCCTACCTGTGATAGAGGGTATATTAAGTTTGTATGGGTACATGTAGCATTCAGAAGGTCAGGAGACATATTCGATTTTCATCAAATCGATTGATTCAGAAACCGATTCAACCCTATCCGACTGTCTGTCTATCTGTCCTTTAACTTAATCTATCTATCTTTCAATTTGAAGATCGCAAATGTTTGAGATATTTTAACGAAACTTAATTTAATGGCATGTTTTGGCCCAGGTATGAACCCTGGATCAGATAACGTTTGCGAGGCTTTATTTTACAAAAAAGACGTTATATGAAAAATAGTTGCAACTTTTAGAACTTGGGCATATAAAAGTGATAAACAGTATTTGGATGTGATGGGCGGATGCTGAACAGATCGCCTTATAACTGTTCCTATAAAAACTAACCCTTTATAAGGCAAAAGGAAAGCGAATTTGATCATAGAAGACCTTTGTTGCGCAACATTTGGACCGCGTTCACTTATCAAGATAAGTCAGTATATAAGTATTATTAATGAATTTCGTCTGTATGTCATATTTCGTCTCTCATAATTTGTACCAGCAGCAATATTTTTGATTTTAGCAGGAAGATCGTACTTTGAAAATTGCCCGCTTTGATTGTTCTATCACTTCTAATAGATCCACGAAAGTTGATTATCTGATGGTAAAGTATTCGATATTATCTTTTGTAATCCACCTCGTATAAGGGTTTTCATGGAAAGTAAGCATTTATATGTCAGTCAAGTTTCCTTTTCAGTATATTATGATGGAAATGGATGAAGACTGGATGAAGTGTTTGGTAAGAAAATTAATTTTCAGCTTATGTTTTGGACAGCGTTGTATATAATGAGTCGCATGGAAAGTTAGTTTTTACATGAAACCAAGGTGCACTTTTTTATATTTTATTGCGAAAAGAAATGAAGAAATCTATTAGATGAAGAGGACATAACAATCGGCCTTGACAAACTATAGAATTTTTATTTTTTTCTATATCCATCAACGCAGGATCAAGGATATATTCATTTCTTCAAAACGCTTACAGCATCCAAAAGAAGGGCTTCAGAGAAGCCATTAAGTACACACAGTCTCGACCAGAGTTAAATTCGCTATGCATCTAAGCTTGTTTGTCCAGCTGTCCGTCTGTTCAACTATGTCATGTCTTTGGTAAACCTTCTATAGTTCGCATAATTTAAGATGTCGTCTAAAAATTTTGCAAAAGAATTTGAATACTCGGCAAACCAGTCAAAGGCCACGCCTACAACGTAACTGAAACTGAGAATATTTTTACTTTCCATAATTTTTTGAACAAAGAATAATTCATAAACGATATAAATTTTGACTTTTATTCTATAAAAATAGCAAAAAATCAGTCACGCCTACCCAATGTATTTCTTTTTTGGTGGGTATAAA